GCAAGCACAAGGTCGTGAGTTTGATTTCCGGTACCGGAAGACAAACAAAAAAAAAACAAAGGGTAGAACTTTATGTGATATGAATATGGAACAATCAGATTCATTGGTTGTCAGAAACATAAAACTCATTCTTTGAAGGATACTTACATTACAGGCACCATGACATCCCAAGAACCGCTCAAGAGTTTTGCACTATTTCTAACCTCATTTTGCAAATGAGGAAACTGATTTGAGAGTTCAAAAAGTGACACTCCAATATGTAACTGTGTGCATGGACTTTCTGGAAGCACTGGCCAAAAATCAAGATGGCCGTCTCTAGAACCTGGCTTCTACGCTTTTAATGTGAAGCTAAGGCATTGGTTGTTGGGTATCTTAATTTTGTATTTTTAATGGCATGCACGTCTTCTGCTTTACATTAAAATCTCTAACTCAAATAATAAGAAATGTATTTCGACATTCCGGTTGCAGGAATCTGCTAGAGAACAGCCAAGCTGAGCTACGAACAGAGACGTCTCCAGGTAGACCTTTCATGGAAACATCGGGCTCTCATGAAAACATATTCATCTTAAAATTTTAAAAATAATCAACTAAGCGTGTGAGAGATGGTTTATCTTCAAAGCGGTGGTACTTCCATCAAATTTAAGGCAGATAAAGACGTGCGAGGCAGATAAAGACGAACTCAAAATGACCATCTGCCGCTCGCCGCTGAAGCCTAATCCCGGCTCGTGGAGGGCCCAGGCCTAAACTGCGGCTTTTGAACCTGGGGCTGCGCCGCGGGAAACTGCCAGTTCGCGCTCGCCCCGCCGTGCCCGCCCACTCCTGCTGCCGCGGGTGGGGCCGCCCAGCAGCCCAGGACGCCAGGGAACAGGCGGTGCCTCCCAAGGGGCATAGCCCGTGAGCCCACACCTGGTCTCGGACCACCCCTCCGCGCCGAGGTTGGACGTCATCGCTCCACGACCGCCTAGGGCCAATCAGAAGACATTAGCTGTCCTCTGGGAAGAAGGTAGGCTCTACGTGACGTAAAACGCCAGCTCCGCCCCTTCTCCAAGGACCAGGGAGCGGGGCCGGGGTGGGCGTGTCCTGCCTGCGGGTCGCCAGTAGCGTGAGGGCGGAGGGGCTGAGAGGGCGGGGCCAGGAGCCGGGGGGCCGCGGTGGGCGGGGTTACGTGGTTCCATGAGAGTTTGCTAAATTTTCTTTCCCTTCTGTTTCTGCAGTCTTATTTTTAAACCAGAAACTATGTAAAATAGTGTAGCTGTCTTTACTTAGTACGAGGTGGGCATTTCCCTGCCGTTAGACTTTGTAACATCTTACTTTATATCCCGCTCCGTCTTTTTTTTTTCTCAGTTTCCTCTGGGACTTTCTCTTCTGGTCAAGGCCCATCGCCTTAGTGTGGCAGGGTCTGTCCGGGCGCTGCGGAAGTTCTCTGGCTGTGCACAGTGACCCCTGGACCTGCCGAAACCCGTCACCGCCACGCTGCCTTCTTACGCATGCGCAGCAGAGGTTCTGCATTCGCTTGGGGCCTGGAACCTAGTCCAGTTCCACTGTGTGCCTCCGGGCGGACTGTACAGCTCCACTGTTATGCTGCTTCCTTACAGTGATGTTCTGCGGCTGTCTGCGGCCTTTGAGGCTTGCACATCCTTGGGGATGGGCTCCTTCCCAGGCCATCCCAGGTTTGGGACAGTGGTAGAGACTTCTCAGGCATAGTTGGATGTCCTTGGAAATTGCCTACTCTGGTGTCTTCAGTGCTGGAGCGGGAGAGATCATGTACAAAGTTTGTTTTGTCAATTTTTAGACACACACTCCCTGCATGTTTAACACATCCATATGCAGAGCTGAGAAGAGATCGTTTTGCTTTCAGGTACCTGTTGGGCATGTGTAGGCCCGGGTGAAAACTTAAGGTTCATGGTGTTTAAGTCCCTGCTTGACCCAGGAGAAAACACAAGTCCTGCTTTTCATGGGCAGCAGGTGAGGGCCAGGAACTGCCTCTTACCATCCCCCTAGCCATCCCTGGCTGTGTCACTGTTGTACAGTGCTGTGTGCACCTACTCGAAGGATGTCCCTGTTTGCTCTTTATGTAGAGCCCCCATTTAGTTTTGAGACCCTGAGGTTTTCCTAACCCTCAACAACAGTCTGAGCTTGATAAGGGCCTGGATCTTTTCTGCACACTTAGAGAACATCTTATTCTTTCAAGCTAAGTTTGAAACCACAAGCTTGTGGCCATTTTAGCTATAATTAATGGTTAAGGAAGCAAGGAAAAATCTCATCTTCTTTGTTTTCAGGTGTGTTGGGGACCAGATTATGTAAGGGTTAAACTGCTGACGATAAGGGACCTCTGGCCACGTTGGAAAACCTCATGTTTACAGTCTCTGAAGACAAGATAAAGCTACAGCTGTGGGCTGCTGACACTCCCTATTCCAGAGCAATAAAACTGCCAACTTTAGTGATCAAACAGTTGTCTTAATTGGTGAGATTTACTGCCTTTGTTCTACTTCTGAAGACTCTGCCCATTTCTTCGAGCTTTTGCCTCCAATGTGCTCTCCTCTTCCTTCACCCCTCAAATCTGTGGAAACCCAACAAATACTATGGGTGATCCAGAAAGTCTTGTCTTACCTCCTGACAATGCTGACCTTCCTGAACTCCCCAAAGCATATTACATTGTCTCTTTTATTTAAGCCTTCACTGTAACTCATTTTAGGAGATTGGGGGCTAGGCCACATCCCCAATACAGGTAGCCCCCAACTGCCTGGCCCAAGACTGCTAAAGACTCGCTTTAGCCTAACATTATGATTGCATCAGAAGGACTTCAGGGTGGGGAGGAAGGGCCTGCAGGACTCATATACTATGTTGCCCACACATACTGTGTCACACATGAGGGGCCTGGGCCCCCTCCCCAGGCTCAGGGTATTATAAACAGCTAAGTTAGGCAGAGGTATTATAGGTAGTCAGACAGGGCTAGGCCCTCAAAAAAGTCCATGCAGAAGATGAGAACCCATTAAAACTACAGATGGGAGCACATCTATTGGAGGACAGGCCTCAAGATAAAGATGGAATGACCAGGCTTACATGCCTCCCCAAGGGATAAGCAATATACTATAATTGGTATCATCTGGTCCAATAAAGTCTAGCTAGACACCAGTCAGTCACCCAGCTGGGCGACCAGGACCTCCTGACACATCTCTTTCAAAAAATGTTCTTTCCATGTACACTTGCTATGTGACCTGCTTCCCCATTTGATCAACATCACCTAAGCGACTACACTTGTACTCTTATTGGTTGATCATAGTTTTGTCCCACATTGTGCCCACCTCCTGCTTTTGAGCTATAAAACTTCTTTTGAGAAGTGGGCTCATTTTTTTTTTTTTTAATTTTTTTTGTTTTTCTTTTTTTTCTGGTACTGGGAATTGAACTCACTACCTTGCACTTGCCAAGTAGGCGCTGTGCCGCTGAGCTAAATCCCCAGCCCCAGAAGTGGGCTCATTGGCAGCCCACTTACGGCCCCTCTCGCTTCTCATTAAATATTTCTTACTCTTAACCTGTTTTTCCTTAGAATTAATCCTTCAACTTTAGGGAACATGAATTCGGCATATCAGACATTTAACACGTTGGGATTTATATTTCTTCCCCTATATCATTTGCGGGTCAAATAACATTTCTGTATCAAGGGGAGGAGGCCCTTTTAAATCTCACACCTGGTGTCACATCTGGGGGAGGGGTGTGTCTCATGCCCCACCGCTTTGCTGGAAGGCGCAGCTACCAGGATCCTGCTGTGATGTAAACTCTTGGCGTCAGCAGTGAATTAAAGAGGCAGACTTTAAAATAAAAAGATTTATTTGGAAATAAGACGGGAAAAGGAAGGTAGACAGCTACTCTGGGAGAGTAGGGGCATCAGAAGGGAATACCTGTGGATTTTCTCCTCGACCCCTTTTTACTTAGGACTAGTAATTTCTCTCATCCCCCTTGTGGGCACCTAGAAGTTATCACCATCTGACTGGCTCTCCGGCTGCCTTTGATCCTAACCTGAGCACCTTTATCTACATTCTTTCTGGCCTTTGATACATTTCCGCCCTTTTGTGGTGGATGGGAGGAGATACAGAAAGCTAACTTAGAGCCTGGCATATAGCCCAGCGGCAGAAGGCGTGCTCTGCAAGGGCAAAGTCCTGAGTTAGAGCCCTGGAACCCGCCCCCACCCCCAAAAAAGCTAATGACCAAGCAAAGGAGACGTGTGTATTTGGTGCAGGTATAGTGATACTAAACTAAGAATATACATATAAATACATATATATAGGGGTTTGTCTTTTATATACTACATAAGAGTCCTCAGGTGGCTACCTCTTATCTCCTTTGCATTTAATCAGAGGTAGGTGAGCGGGCGGTTTTCCCTGGTCTTCCAAGTTTCCAGCTTCCTTCGTTGTTAACTTTTGGATAAATTCCCATGGTAACTGCGCTACCTGGCGCCTTTTTCTAATTGTTCTAACTGCGGTCTACCTGTAGAGACAGAAGCTGCCCCCAGTAGGATTTCCCACTGATTTTTAATAAAGTCTATCTTTTCCCTGCAGAGCGTCTGCCCGGTGGAACGGGTGTCTGGCGGCTCTGTCTGCGACCGGGCTGTAGTCGCCCGCGGGAAGGAACGCCAGGACAGCGAACGCCAGGGGCAGCTTGAGCCCCCATAGCTCCTCTCCAAGACCCCGCGCCAACCTTGCTGCCTCCTGCGCAGGCGCGAGCTGTGTCTGGGGCGCTGGCGAAATCCTACGCACCGCCCAGCGCACGTTGGCTCACGTAGCCCCGCCCGAGCGTCGCCGCTGCCGGATGTGAGCCCGCAGTTTCGACCCCGGGCGCGAAGGGCGGGGCTTTCCGGGGGCGGGAGCCGCTTCAGCAAATCATCGGCGCCATAGCTGGGCCCGTCCCCCACGGCTGCTCCGTCCTGCCCCGCCCCACCGGCGGCTGTTCGGGGCCTGGTCCAGTGGCGGCAGGCCGGCTTGAGGTGAGTCCTCTTGGGTTCAGTGCGTGGCTCGCTGCTGGTGCTGAGTGCGGACTCGGCGAGGCAAGATGTACAACTGGATCCCGAACCCGGACACCGCGCTGGGCAGGGGTCCTGAGGAGCGGGAGCCTGGCCCCGTGAGCTGAGGACAGCCCGCAGAGCAGGGTCCCCTGGGGAAGGCCTGGCCCCCGACTTGGGGACACCGCAGAGAGCAGGGTCCCCAGGGGAAGGCCTGGCACCGTGAGCTGGGGACGCCAGGCAGGGCAGGGTCCCGGGAAGGGAGGGACTGGATCTGAGAGAGAGACACTGCTGCTTGTCCCGGGAGGCGCCAGCACGGAGTGAGTTGCAGTGGGAGGTGCTGTCCCCAGGTTGACGGCCATCACCGGCGCCCCTTAGCGCAGAGCAAACTGGGAAGGCGAACTGAGAGCCCGCCTGGCCTGTGAGGACTCACTCCGCTGGAGGGCCAGCCTGGAGGATTCCGAGCTGGCCACACAGACGTCAGATAGGATCTGCGATCTATTGTCTCCTGGCCAGGGCTGGGGTCACTGGTGGCCCAGCCTCCCCTTAGGCCTTGTTGCTATCTCAAGCTTCGGATACCACGTACTGCCTCTACATGTGGGGGCTGTGCAAGCAGCACCCTTAACGGGAAGAAGGGTGGGACTGGCTCTTCAGACAGTGACAGGAGTTCAGTGCTTAACGTGTGGGAACCTCAGGTGACATCCAAGATCTGGGGGAAGGAGGCTGGCAGGAAGGTGAGTGCTCTGGAGGGTGCAAATGTCGACCCAGTGGCCTTGGAAGAGAAAGATGGGCTCAGGAGCAGAAGGTGGGTGAACCCCAAGGAGACAGCACAACTGGAAGAATCCTTGGAAACCTTGGAAGGAGCAAAGGTGGGGTGGGTGCTGGGCACCCAGGGCCAGGAGCCCCAGCACAATGTGAGGCATGGGGGGGCCCTGAGAATTTCCAGGGGCTCCAGTCCCCACCCACACTTACTGTTCCCATGTTAGTTCCATATCTGTGGAATGGGATCACAGCAAATGGCACCCCAGTTGTTTGTGGAGAGCTCTAAGCACCTGATACATTGTGCCCACTGATGACACTCTCACCTGTGCGCCTGTCACCCAAGGAAGTCCAGGCTTGGATGTTAAGTTACTGGCTCTAGTAGCACAGTGCTAATAGCTGTGGATTCACAAAACTTCCACAGAGTACCTGTGATTCAGGTTACAGTGATACATTGGTTTGTGCACTTAATTTGTTCCCCGATTTTGGAAAAGGTCACTTTTGTGTTTGTGCAGGAAAGATGGCCCTGGTCGTGTTCTTCACCTGATGTGGAGTTTGCAGACAAAAACAAGATTTTGGAAAATGCTTCTGTTTAGTTGTTCACAAACAAAAAGCATTTGTGAACTGAGGTACCACTGCACAAGGTGTTCAGGGTGTTGTAACAGGGACAGGATTGTGGACTGCTTTTCAGGAAGTATTCCTTGTGGAAAGCTGTGCTTTATTTAGTTGGTTGTTTTTAGCTGCAGAAATGATTTCCTAAAGTCCACATAATGGCAGTTGTGTATCTTATTTGAATTATCAGGTTTCCTGATCATTGAACTAGGCATGATTGCTGCCATAAATTCTATTATAGGTATGGGTGTACCTGTGAGCAAAAGACAAATGACCCTGATAAGCAAATTGCTTTGCTGTGTTTTGTCAGTCATAACTTTAGTCATTTATGTTTATCAATGGGGAAAATCTTGCCAAGAATGTTTTCATGCAAATGTGAGACAGGGGAATGTTATTTGCGTCTTCACATAAGACAAGCGACTCTGTCAGTGTGCTCACATCCTCCCAGGAGCTTCAGTAACCCTCCTAATTTCTTATCCCTTTGCCTTGGTTATGCATGCCTGATACAATTCGTTGGTTGGGGTTTTTTGGTACCAGGAATCCAACTCGACCTTGTGCTTGCCAGGCAGGCACTTGGGCTGCTGAGCTATATCCCCAGCCTGCCTGATGGAATTCTTTTTTTTTTTTGTTTTTTTTTTTTGTTGTTGTTGTTTTCTGGTACCAGGAATCGAACTCATGACCTTACACTTGCCAGGCAGGCGCTGTGCTACTGAGTTAAATCCCCAGCGCCCCCCCCCGCCTGATGTAATTCTTACTTTTGTTTTCAAAGCTGTTTGAAAAGAAGAAAGATGGAAAGTGGCACAGTTCTGCTGGAATCCAAATCCTCCCCACTTCACCTGCTTCGGGAAATGCACAGGCTCCGCCTGCTCGGCCACCTGTGTGACGTCACCATCAGCGTTGAGTACCAGGGCGTCCGAGAAGACTTCATGGCTCACAAAGCGGTGTTGGCGGCCACCAGCAAGTTCTTTAAGGACATGTTCCTAAACGAGAAGAGTGTGGACGGGACCAGGACTAATGTGTACTTACACGAGGTGCAGGTAGCTGACTTTGCCTCGTTTCTTGAGTTTGTCTATACCACCAAGGTCCAGGTGGAAGAAGACAGGGTGGAACGGATGCTGGAGATGGCAGAAAAGCTCAAGTGTTTGGACCTGTCCGAAACTTGTTTCCAGTTAAAGAAGCAGATGTTAGAGTCGGTCCTTTTAGAATTGCAGAATTTTTCGGAGTCTCAGAAGGCCGAGGCCGGCAGTGGCCCCCCAGCCAGTGCTGCTGTGGACTCCAGGGCAGGTTCAGCCAGGGACAGTGCCCATTGCAACGGTCTTGTGGGCTCCTCAGATCACTCTGGGGACAGGATCAGCAACAGCTTGTCATCAGATATACCACCGAGGAAGCCCAAGGAGAAGCTAGACAGGAAAAGAGATGTGGCCAAACCTCCCTACCCTAAAATCAGAAGAGCAAGTGGAAGGCTGGCTGGGAGAAAGGTGTTTGTAGAAATCCCTAAAAAGAAGTACACAAGACGACTCCGAGAGCAGCAGAAGAGTGCGGAGGACGTGGTGGGGGCGGATTGCGAGTGTCCCCGGGAGCAGCCCGCCAGCAGTGTGGCTGCAGAGACTGAGGCTGCCGGAGAGACAAAGCTGGATGCGGAGATGGCACCCGCAGAGATGGTGCCGGCTGCAGCCGGAAGCCAGGACTGCGCCGAGGAGCCCGAGGGAGTGCTGCAGAGGGCGAGGGCAGCGGAGCCTGGGAAGGAGGCTGAGGGTGAAGGCGATGGCAATGGTGACGAGAGCAGGAAGAAAAGCAACTTGAAGTGCACGCTCTGCGACAAGGCCTTCCTATACGAGAAGAGCTTCCTGAAGCACGTCCAGCAGCACCATGGCGTGGCCACCGAGGTGGTGTACCGCTGCGACACCTGCGGCCAGACCTTCGCCAACCGCTGCAACCTCCGAAGCCACCAGCTGCTCGTGCACAGCAGCGAGCGCCACTTCCCCTGCGAGCTGTGTGGGAAGAAGTTCAAGCGCCAGAAGGACGTGCGCCGGCATGTGCTGCACGTGCACGAGGGCGGTGGCGCCCGCCACCGCTGCGCCGAGTGCGGCAAGGGCCTGAGCTCCAAGACAGCGCTGCGCCTGCACGCGCGCACCCACACGGGGGACCGGCCGCATGGCTGCCCCGACTGCGGCGCGCGCTTCTCGCAGCCCTCGGCGCTCAAGACTCACATGAGGTGCAGTGTGAGGGCGGGGAGGTGTGGGCAGGCAGCGTGCTGGGTTTGGGTGGCCAGTGTTGGGCAGTGGCTTGGGGACAGTGTGCTTTCTTTTCGGAGGAGGTGTTGAGGCCCTGGGAGATGGCAGCCTCACCCTCTCAGAGCCTGGGGGCAGGAGACCCACTGACCTCAGCTGCCCAGGGCTTGTGCTGCAGGTCTGGAGCAGCAGAGCGATCCCGGCCCTGTTCCGGCTGTGTTCCCAGGAAGAGCTGGGAGCAGTGTTAGTGAAATGACATCTGCTGGCTCTGTTTGGAAGGTGCAGCCGGGTCAGTCCGGAATGAGGACTGTTTTTTTATGAATTTTTGAGCTGTAGTGGGTAGTAATCTATTTCCAAGTAAGTTTCCATCCAGTTCCCAGCAAATTCCCAACAAGCACTTAAGTTCCCTATGCTGCCCCAGGGCCAGCTCCACTCCCAGTGCTGAAGCTTGGCCGGCTGCTGCAGCTTGAGGCTTCGTGCAAAGCGCTTGCACTTGCAGTTTAAACAGGTTCCCCAGTGTCCAGAGCAGCTTCTTTTTAGACCAGGCATGTGAGGAAATGAGGGGAAAGGCTTGACCATGTGGTATTTTGTCAGCAACTGTCGCCAGGGTGTTGTCACTGATCATTCTAAAAGAGGAAGGGTCACAATTACTAGCTGGCGCTTGGGCACAGTCCCTGCATAGGCCCAATTACATAAGCTAAGCACAGTAGGTGAGGTGGTGTGGTCCCTGCTTTGTGGACTCACAGGGTACCGTGCCCACCTCCTGGCCTTGCCTGGAAGCTCTGGGCACTGGGATGGAAACACAGCTCTCAATCCGTCCCTCAGAGTTGATGGTTTTGGCAGGATAGAGTGGACATTGTATTGCAGAGTGAGTTTTGAAACCCACCCTGAGTCACCTCTGGATGTTGTGCTTTCAGAATTCATACAGGGGAAAAGCCTTTTGTCTGTGATGAGTGTGGGGCGAGATTCACTCAGAACCACATGCTGATTTACCACAAAAGGGTCCACACAGGTAAATACCACGCTGCGGTGACTCACTCTTTCCTAGCTGTGGAGGGAAACTGCTGGCTTTGCCAGGAGGTGCAGGCTGAAGGCATCCTAGCTTTCTGATCCAGTGAACAAAGATGAATAAAAATTCCCGTAGCCTACAGTGCTGGGGTCTTGGTAGAATCCTGGCCTCCAGGTCTCCATGTCCAGAGGTGCAAAACAGGTCCCAGGGACTGAGCCTATTTCCAAGAATCTATCCTTATAGAAATGGTTGAAAATATGACAAAAGCAGTGTGCTATTAGCTGGCTCCTTCTGTTTTTAATAACAGACTGGAAACTACCTGTCTAAGCCGCAAGAAGTGGTTCAGTCAGCTCCCTGAGGTAGATGTGGGCCCTGGCTCATGACATGGTCATTCAGAGTAAGGGCTCTGCGCAACATGAAAACGGCTGTGCTTGGAGGTTGAGTTGAAAAAGCTTAGTTAAACCCACAGTTAATCCCAACTGTATGGAAGACCAGAAGAAGACCAACTGCTATATGATCCCTTGTTGTATAAGGTGGTGGGATCATCTCCTATTTCCCAAAATCTTTGCAGTGTAATTTGAGCATATGAGGGAGAATATTTAACTTGGCTTTATTCTGGTTCAGCAGTGTCTGTGAGCTACACAGAAATATACACAATCTAACTGTGTATGCTGTGGTTGTGGTACAGTTCCTTGTATTTTTTACTTCTAAACACTGTTATAAAGGTGTCAAGTTCAAATGCAGACAAGGTGGATATGTGCATTTAATGTGAACCATACTGTAGGGGAGCAGCACAAGGGTCCCATGGGGATGAGGCACTATTAGGTCACACGAACAATCACATCAGAATCAGTATTTGATGATATTTGATGTATTAAGGTTTTGGGAAAGCCAGCATTTTAATTTTGCTGTTTGTGAAATCCGGGCACTCGTGTTAACTAGATGAGTCCAAGCTGTGAGAAAAAAGACTGAAACTACTAAAAGTGAGATGTTAAACTCTTGAGGTGCGCTCCAGTCTGGAGACTAGGGCTGCTACTCTAGAACTAGCTGCATATAGTATGGCAGTGTCGTCTAGTAAGTACAATATATATCTACTGCGAACTTTCTCTCCTTTTAAGCATGTCCTTTATTCTGATAAAGACTAACAGAAGTGCTTTTTAAAAAATAATTTAACAATCCAAACAAGTGAAACTGTTTCTTTGTTTGGAGTAAGTAGATTTCTAAAATGTAAGCTGGCTGAATGATAACTTGGTTTCTAGTCTAATGGAATGTTTCTTGGATTTCCAAGGAGGCTCTACATCAACTTTCAGCAAGTAGCAAGCATCCTGTGTTTTAATTAATGTTTGATGATAGTTTTAATTAGGAAGTCTAACATGGCGCCCACCAAGGGGTTTTTAAGAGTGTGGACCTACTCTTCCCACCTGCTTTTAATGCTTAAGTATTGTTTCTAATTTTCTTTCATCTTTTCATGTAGGTGAAAAGCCTTTTATGTGTGAAACATGTGGCAAGAGTTTTGCTTCTAAGGAATACTTAAAGCACCACAATAGAATCCACACTGGCTCCAAACCCTATAAGTGTGAAATGTGTTTTAGGACTTTTGCACAGCGGAACTCACTCTACCAGCACGTGAAAGTCCACACAGGTATGGCTGCAGTGCCTCAGGGAGGTTGTTCAAGGTGGCAAGAGATGTGGCCCCAAGGTTTTCAGGGGCCTAGTTTACTAGGAAACTTTTTGGAAGCTTTAACCCCCCAAAGTGGCCAAACTCTGATGTTATAATGGCATTTTCGGGGGGGCTTTTCTGACCCTGAGAAACTAAAAAGCAGAACACGTGTGCATGCAGGGGCCAACCTTGTCCCTTTGCAGAAATGAGAGATGGGGTGTGGATATCAGTATAGATGTGCACAGCCCATACTCAGATTATACACAAGGGTAGTGGCCTACGTGTTCATAAACACACACACGCACACACAGTTACCAGGAACTTGCAGTTCTCTGTTACTGTGGAAAGACTATGTCATTCTCTACAGATGGAATACCAGCTTCAGGCAGATTCTGGCCCACTTTAGGTGTAGACATAAAGTCTGTGACTCAGACAGATTGGTCCCTCAAGCTGTTGGACTTAGGCTTATGTAAGCACTGAGGATTTCCAGGGCTTGAGGACAGTGTATTCAGCAGTAAACACAGCAGGCAAAGAGGTTGCTCTCCCACTCACTTCCTTCTCTTGGCCTAGGGGAGCGGCCCTACTGTTGCGACCAGTGCGGGAAGCAGTTCACCCAGCTCAACGCTCTCCAACGCCACCGTCGCATCCACACGGGGGAGAAGCCGTTTATGTGTAACGCGTGTGGACGGACATTCACCGACAAGTCCACCCTCCGTCGGCACACCTCAGTAAACAGCGGGCGGCTGGGGAAACACACTGGGCTGGAGGTGGGGCCACTCGGGCAAAGTCCACTTTGGACAATTATAGCAGTGGCACTGGTGCTGGGCAGATGTTTCACAGCTGTTGGTGACAGGGGGCTTCAGTGCAGCAGCAGCAGCAGAACTGATGCTGGAGATGATTGTTTTAAAAGCTGCCCTTGTTAGGAATGTCTCAATTGGGGAATTACAGAGGCGTGTGTGGTGACCCTGTGCTGTTTGTTTTGTAGATCCACGATAAGAATACTCCATGGAAGTCTTTCCTTGTTATTGTAGATGGCTCACCCAAGAACGATGAAGAGCACAAGACAGAGCAGCCTGATGAAGAGTACATGCCCCCCAAACTTCCAGAGAAGTTGCTGTCCTTTGCCGAAAACGGCCACTTTGACAGCCTGGCTGTGCCGGGCTCTGCACCTGCTGAGCAAGAGAACAGTGCCCCACACACAGCGTGCAAGGTGGACGCCTCTGTGGTGTCCCAGGACACTCTGCTTGCTACCGCCATGGGTGAGCTCGGCGAGCTGACCCCACAGACAGACTCGATGCCCACACAGCTTCACTCTCTGAGTAGCATCGAATGAGTGGTCTGCTGGTGACAGCCCTGCTCCACGATGCACCAGCAGCTGAGAAGTCTCTCACTGTCCATGTGCAAGGTGTGGGCTGGGGTGGCTTTCTGCCGATGGTCCTGACCGTGCACGTTTTCATCACACCACTTACAGATGTTTCCCTCTGGCGCCCTGACTTGCATGATCTGTGCTCCCTGAGCCCTGGTGCAGGCCGTGTGCACTGCCCGATTCTCCTGAAGCTTGGCCCACTCTTGTCCATCGCACAGAACGCGGCACTGCCCAGCTCCCGAGTGCTCTTCAGAGTCTTCCTGGTCCCGCCCTGCCTTATACTCCATGTGCTTTAAAGTGTTTTCTGCCAAGCCAAAATACAGCCAGGACTGTAATTTCAGCTGCTGCTTCCTTGTTGAGCTGAAGCAGTCAGACCTGTGGGAACCCTGACAGGGGCCTGAAGCAAAGGATTACTGCATTCATTCCTCCCCGCCTCCTACTTGCAGACCCTAAAACAGGAATGACAAATTGAACTCTGTCAGAAGCCAGCATGTTGCATAGCACACATGCAGCTGAGGAGTTTAAGAAACCTACTTGGGAAATGACATATGGCTGTTTAGTTTCATTGCTAAAAAGAGGCTTAGGTGAAAGCTGTCCTACCAAAGAGTCTAGTGAGACAGTGTAGTACTTTACACAGGCATGACACATGCAGCAAGGGGCTTTAGGTCACTTGAACGTCATTTTATTGACATGTAGTAAAATGAGGGGTGATAAGGGCAAGTCTCACAATGTGAAGACGTCATGCTTTTGCTAGGTTTTTCTCAATTGATTTGTCATTCCAGAAACCCCCACCGCCTCCTTTGCAAGCTGAGAGTTTGCAGCCAGGTAGGAGTCCCCACAGATTTGCTCCCTTAGGAGCAGCAAGAGCCTAGAAGGGCCTCGGACCGTGCCTTACCAAGCAGCTGGACAGAGCCAGTAAGATGGGCTTCAGTGCTCCTCTGGCTGACTCCTGCTAGACTAAGTCACTGCTCAGAAACAGTGGAAAGGATTCTGCTGTCACCGCTGCTCCAGGCACCTGGGTGTGTGGCTGTGTTTGTGAAAGGCTTTGATCCAAATGTAACCCTAAGCGTATTAATTTCAGAGGAGTGACTTCAAGGGAGAGTTCTGTTCCCCAGTTGATTTTTTCCCCTGCATCCTTAATTTATTAAACATGCTGTGCACACACCAGTCCTCCCGGAGGAAGGTGCCTCACCCCTGCACTGAGGTAGGCACTGGGCTGGAAACAGGAGGTTCCTTCCTTCTGCAGCACTCACTGTATGACTCCTTAGTGGGTCTGAGGACTGGGAAAGCCTGTGGCCCTCGGTGCTGGAGACATTTCACACTGCACTTGACAGTCACCCTGAACTACTTCATTCAGTTGTGACCGTGTCATTGTGTCCCAGCTGTGTTTACAGAACAAAACTTTTGTGTGACTGCACACAGCCCTTCCAGTCTGAAGAGGAGACTGCCCAGCTGATGGATTATTTTATGGGATAAAGTCAGCTTGATGGAAAGGAATTCAAACAATAGAGTATTTTGTTACCTGCTGGAAGAATTTCTGTCTTGAATTTGTTTCTTTAGAAGTTCTGCACAAAATTGTTTAATGTGTTAATAAATGTCTGCTTTTTGAAGTAGGCCTGCAGTTAAAAGTTTATTGACAGGATTATAACTTAGTGTCTGTAGAAATAAGATTCTTAATGATCAAGTGTTAACTCCCTAATCATATACATAATGACGCTTTTTAAATCAGGAACTGCAGAGCCACCTAACTGGACTCTGAAAGCATGGGATGGGGGATGGGCCCTGCTGTGCAGGAGCTGGCAGGGTTTGGGCACCAGGGCACTCCTGCGTGTCCCCTCAGTGTGACTAAGGAGATGACTTCCACTGTCTTCGCTTCTGTCCCCTTCCCAGCAGGGTACAGCTGTACCTGAAAGCAAGGTACCCACAGCTACAGAAGCCTCACTGTGGGGGACTGGGTGGGTCCCTTGATTCTCCCAAGGCAAATACAGGTGAAAGCACCGCTACACTGATATGTCTGTGCCAAGCAGGTGATGAGGATAAAGCTTGAGTGGTGGCACATAGCTCCCAAGGTATCAGAAGTCATGAAGGTGATCTGGTGTCACTGCAGACATTTTGTGTGAAACAGCTCGAATTTCAAAGGGCTCTGAAGCCTTTGGTTTCACTAAGTTTGCTGTACGGCTGGAAAGAATGGGCCAGGAAGTAGGGCAGACCCCAGGAGACTGCCCTCTGTGGTGATTATCTGGGCAAATCTGCCATGCAGTGTGAGTGGGGTCTAACCCGCACGATGTCACACCTTGTCACATCAAGGACTTGCACATTTCTGAAACAAAATGGGTGCTTGTGCACTGTGCCAATTCTATGTCCTCCTGGACCAGAAGCAGCAACATTATTGCAGCTGGGGGAGGGCACTCATACCAAGGCCTTCATGCACAGGCAGCTGGACAGGCGCAGACAGAGCTGACCAGCCACAACCAGGTCAGCAGGTCACACAGCGGGTCTCCGGCTGCCCAGAAGCTGTTCTTTGGTGGTCTGCACAGCCTCTTCCCAAGGCAGCACAACCAGGCTGACTTTTAGGAAACAGAAGACCCATGGCACTTTCTGTGCCTGACAGTCCCCACATCTCCTGGCCTGGGACGGCCTGTTCTACCAGACATTCCTTAAACCTGCTCTGAATTACTGGAGGTGCTGTAAGCAGTCAAGGTTCTGCGACGGCATGAGAGGACGAGCTGGCGCCATACCCCATACAGGCCATCTGTGCCTGGGGACAGCGCCAGGCTTCTGGGGTACTTGCCTCCGCACAGCACAAAGGCCTCCAGCACCACTCCACTTACAAGTGAGCATGGAGCCCTCAGAACTTGGGGAAGGGATGAGAGCATGAGGTCATCAGCTGGCATGTACTCTTAGTGGCCAGCAGCAGCTCAGCTTAGGGTTTCCTTCTGTACCTTGGCCTCGCTATGTGAGGACCTGCACAGTATGAAGGCCACTGCCTAAACTTCAGGGGTCAGCTTTCAGGAAAGGAAGCTACTTCTGAACATGTCAATGTAGCTAGGAAAGACTCATCAAGATGATATTCATAATTGATACTTTATTTACTGTACAGGTTCACATAAAACAAATACACTCTTTTTGCTAAGGTACGTTTATCATTACGTGTTTGGTTTTCATACTGTTGCTCCCTGCAAGGGCAACTCGGAGCCTCACAGGCAGGAGCCTGCTACGGTCTCAGGTCACACTCTGCAGCGGGCAGGGCACGGGCATGCGGTGCCGCAGAGCCTCCACAGGAAGTCTCGAAGGTCTGCATTTGAACACTGGGAATGCACAACACCAGAGGAACAATGACTGCACAGGGGCTGGTGCATGTACTTCGGTTAAAGTGACGCCACCACACTCGGTCACAAGTGTGCAAAAATACTGTTTTCAGATCATTAAATAAAAAAGGAATTCACACAAGCTATAAAATTGTTGCCACAAAAAGCAAAGCTTTCTTGTAAGAAATATGAACTGACTTCAACTATGCACTGACCCCAGAGCTGCAAGAAAAACAAGAACTGTAACATAAATGATCGTTCTGTTCTGCTCATAGACAACATTCTGAAACCTGGAAAGCTACATCCCGGCCATCCTGAGACATGGCACCGCTCTGCGTCAAGGGACATTTGGGGAAGCGAGTTTGCACTTGACTGTCTGGGCTCCTTTCTCATTCTCCTTTTACTGATTCTGGCAGGTCTGTTCTTGCCACTGTAATCACTTTTATTCTTTTCACATGAAATATGAGGAACAAAACTTATTTCTTACCCCAGGCACTGGTCCCAGCATTTATTTTAATAGAAACAAGCCACTCTGCTGACTCAGCGAAATAATAGAGACTCTGTGTATGAAAACCACACCTTCTTCCGATGGGCCTGTGAGGGGGTCACGCTGAATGCTACGCCAAGTGCCCCGGAGAACAGCACCTGGTTTCTACTTCACAAGGCCACAGAAGAGTCTGAGCTAGAGGGGCCAACATAGCTCCTTAGCTGGCTAGTGCGGCAACTGACTCAGAGCCAAAGGATGCGAACCAGAGCCACCTGCCTTCTCGTTCCAGATGTACACATGGCTGGCCTGGAACACACCAGGTACAGCAGTAGAACCTACTTTCCTCTGGCCATTCTTTCAGAGGAGATTCTACCTGGTGTCAAGGAGCACGCACCTAGGCTTCAGTCCAAACCCTACCCTAACAGATAGGTGCTTCCATTCAAGAACCCAGAAACCCACAAGTGAGACTCCAGGGCCTGTTCCTCTATGCCCACTGGACACTGGGACACCACTGAGCCTCCTGCACCCCAGGACACTAGGCCCGTCACCACCGTGGCTGGGTGGCTGGATGCAACCTCTGCATCAGCCTCGGAGCGTGCTTTCCCACTTTACTCCCTTTCCCCTCTCACCAGACTGATGACCTGCTTTTCCCCTCATCACCCCAGACTGATGACCTGCTTTCCAGCCCTCCTCCTCCAGGCTCACTACTGGCTGGGGAAAGCCACTCTACTTCTGCACAGCAAAAGCCTGACACTCCTAGCTGAGAACCACTAAAAACTGCAACCTCATCAGATACTCCTCACCCTCTGACGAAACACAGAAGGGTTTGTGGTCTGGCAGTAAGGGCAGCAGCACAATCTAGAAAGGGATGTGAGATCTGCCAGGCATCTCAAACCATTTTAGCACAAAAGTATGCATGGGAGACTCAGGGAATAAGCCCATGTCCGAGTGCTGCACCTCCGAGGACCATGTTCTCAGCTCCCGAGCACACACAGGTCAGGGACCCAACAGGTCAGCACAGGCTACAATAAGCCCACCAGCTTAGAGACAATCCAATCCCCAGATGCAAGGCAGGGGGCTCGCCCAGCCAGACACACTGTAACTTCCTGTGCCATCCTGAGCACCCAACAGATGGGTAAAAGCAATCACACACACTTGCACGCTGACTGCACAGTACCCCCCACCCCCGCCACAAGCATGGCACAGAAGACAGCGCGAATGAATGCCCTTTCACCCCACACAAAGCAGAGACTTTCTCCCGAGAAAGGAACAGTTCTGCTTCTCACACACTTTAGAAACTTGGGGGTGTGTGCTTAAGTACAAACCCATCAAATCCACCCTGACTTTCATCCACACAAGAAGCAAGTCCTGCCAGCAAGCTGCTCCTCCCAAAGCAAGTGATGCTCACAGACCCCACCACTCTGAGTTCTGCCATGGGCACGTGAACACACAGACAATATAAGCAAGCTGTCACTAGCACCATCAAGAGATCACAGAGAATAAAAATAAACCATTCCTAATGAGGTCATAACGTCACCCTATTATCCATCCCAGAATGAATGCACTGAAAGAACACATCCAGATACCAACACACGGAGTCTGTGAAGCGTCCATTAGACGAGTCCCAGAGTCCAGGGAACAGAACACAAACACAGCAGCATGAAAGAGGGGCCTGTGGACGTCACGGACGGGAGTAAGATCTGAAGCACTCCTTGAGAAGCTCTGGGGGCCGAGCATGAAATGTACTCTGGTTGTCACAAACACAACAGCGACAGGAGCCTCCCATTCAGTCGCTGCACAGTCACGCAGACATAGTGCGCCGAACAACACAGATCGCTGGGCTCACAGGCAACAGAATGAAGCCATTAAATGGGTATCCCATGGGATCACTTGGCCCTAACACAAACTAAAGAGGAGTGCGCTACATGCCACGAAGACAGAGACGCTTCACTTTAGGTCTCCGTCCCCTTCGCCATCACCCTGGATGGACTTCTTGATACGCAGCAACATGGTGGTCAGCCACTGGTCCAAGCGCGATATTGAGTCAAACTCCTTTACCTGGATTAAGGAACGAGGAACAGGAATTACTCAATGGAAACACACTCCAGCACAACAGCAGTGAGCCATGCTCCTTACACCCTTTCCAGCAATAACCCACCAGCTTCCTTCACTGGGCTACTGCAGTGTGGCCTGGTTAACCTCCAGCACCACAAAAAGTTTTCTAAAGTTTATCTTTCATTATTTTATGACTATTTTGATGGCACTGGTGCCAAGTACCTATACATGTGCATGACTAACACTGGAACTGGAAGAGTGACAGGAAGCTTGACTCGGGGATGTGGAGAATTAATTCCCCTGGTGGCACGGGGCAGAGCTAGGAGGGACTGGAGCAGAACCCCTTTCATCATCTCACTGTGCTGCTGAAGACCACCACTGGAACAGTACGCAAGCAGTTTAGGGGAAAAGCTGAATAGGAAGATATTCTTTCCCAACACTCCTTCAGGGTCCTGATGAACATAGAACGTATTTTTGTTTGTTTTCTGAGACAAGGCCTTGCTCTGGTTCAGGCTGGCCTCAAACTCACTATGTACCTGAGGCTGGCCTCGAAGTTGCAGCAATCTGCCTACCCCAGAGTGCTTGGATTACAGGTGTGCACCACCATGCCTGGCTTACAATTAATCCGTTAACAGAAGACATGGAGACATCTACTTGATTTTAAACATGACATGGTAAAAGATAGGAAAATACAAAAGACAAAGGAAAGAAGATTTATCTAATGCCACAAATATACCGAACCTTGTCTTTATACTTTTTCCTTTGTACCAAGAACTGAACTCAGGATCATGCACTTGCCAGGCAGGTGCTGTGCTGCTGAGCTACATCCCTGACTCGTTTTTATACTTTATATTTGAGCTAAGTTTACCTTATACTTATTTATGAATCAGATCATTTTCAAAAGAAAAAACTGAAATAGCAAACTGCAGCAGCACCTGTTATCTTCTCTCAAAGGAGCTCACAGCTAAGTTAGTTTTGAGCGTAAGTTAGGAACAGTGCTGACGGGCCAGGGATATAGCTCAGTGGCGCAAGTGCCTGCCTGGCAAGTGCAAGGTACTGAGTTCAATTCCCAGTCCACCCCCACCTCCAAAAAAAAAGAAAAAAGAAAATCAAAGAACAGTGCTGAACACAACTGGAATGTCAATATGGCCAATGGTGAACAGAACTGCCTATTTCAGGGGTGGTGAACCTATAGCATATAGGCTGCAGCAGTTTTCCTTATCATGGAAAGTTCTAAAAGGTTCATTATTACTGGGCTAATTTGTGAAGAAAATGAAACATGACCTCTGGAAAATACAGCTGAAATCATGTTCAAATAAACATCCAGAATTTACACAACAGCAAGAAGTTTCTACAAAGTAAACCTTCAAAAATGCACGATATCCTAAAGGTCTAACTTACTGCTTCAGTGTAAGCTTCACTGTTCTGTTCTTCATGAGCTTCTAGAAGTTTCTGGTGGCAATAAAAAAAAAATGAAAAAACAATTAACTGGTTGGGTCCTCAAAATTTCATTTCTAAAGGGACACTTTAAACAGACCCAATCTTGGTAGTGCATTAAGGGAGGTTGCCAGAATCTCAGGGCACTGGGACAATGTGTGCCCTGCCCAGAGGCCTGGCTTTGGAGAGGCACACAGGCTCTGGTCCTCACCCCGCAGGCAGCAGCACACCTCAAGAAGAGCAGGAGAGCACTGAACCCTTGGTGCAAGCCGACACATGCAAACATGACGTCATACCCGGACCCACGAGGAGCCATCATCCAAGAGCAAAGGCTGGTTTAAAGTTCGTAATTACTCACTTTCAATAATTTACACTCTCTTGAATCAGTAAATGCTGGAAACATCTCCTCATATTTCTCAAGAGCAAGCTGAGGGAGGAAAGACACTAGTCAGCTTTAGACTTACTGGACTAGAAGGAAACTTCCGATACTCCGCTAACGTGCTGCATCTGCTAGGTAGAGAGGCTGTTCCTCGACTCAGCCTGACTCCGACCTTGACCTTGGCCCAAGTGAGCCATAGGCCAGATGCCCACGAGCTCGTCCTTCTGCAGCCCCGATGGCCACTTGGCAGCCTTGCCCATACCACCAGCTTCCATGGATTTCCAGCTTCTTCTCCATCCTCAGCTACCTCCCCTCCCTAATTACTCTGCTTTCCTGTTCCCTTCTTAGCCTCTCTGGAGCACAGTGTGAAGCAGAGCTTGAGGAGAACACCCTTCCTAGTCTAGATGTGGATCCACAGCACTGAGTCCCTGTATGGACGTCCTCAATTCAGTCTGGCTCAACCCCACTGAAGGGCACCAGCATGAGCAGCAGGTGACCTTACCTTGGCATTCAGCTCGTCCACAATGAAGTGGCAGAGTGCCGCCTTGAAGAAGTAGTCCTTGGCGCTGTACTTCAGCAGAGGGTTGTCCATCGTGCTCGCCCCGACCTGGTGCAGAGGCGGAGTGTTATGGTTTGTGTTTGCATGTCCCCTGAAATCCTCATGCAGTCATGGGGTGGGCTTCTAGATTTTTGATTGATCCGTAGTCCAATACTGGGATTATGGGTGTGAGTGCTATGACAGTTTGCATACAATGTAAGGGAGGGAAAGAGGCTGCTTGCCGCTATTCCTCCCTTTTCCTCTTGTTGCTGTCTTCCACCGCCATGAACGGTTGCCCTGTGCCATGTGCCCCTCTGCCTTGGAGCCAGCCGAGTACAGACTGAAATCCCCACGAACTGTAAGCTAAATAAACCTTTCCTTCCTTAATTTTGGGCATTGGGTATTTTGTCCCAGCAACCAGAGAAAAATAATCAAGACACACACTCAGGCCCTCGAGGTTCTGTGGTCATAGGAAGTTTGGGTGTCCTGAGGGCTTTGTTTCGCTTTCTTTCTGCTTTTCAAGAGAAAAGTAACCAAGACATGGAGTCAAAGCCAAGCTCTGCCGTCATGCACTTGCCTGCTGCCCTTAAGAAAACACTCACCAACCTCATTTAGTTTAGCTACAGAGTTGTTCTTCCAATACAATTCAAGGGTAGTAAAACTCAAGTAAGACAAAACAAAGGTATTTACTGCAAGCCACATTATAATTAAACTTCTGAAACTTGAAAGCAAGCAAAAGAATCTGAACATGGCCTGAGAAAAGTAATAACCACCTAGCACAGAAAGAACAACACTGAATATTCTTCACACGGAAGGAAAAGAACTATCAACCCAGAACAGAACACTTGGGGAAATGTGTCAGGAACAACAGGGAAATCCAGATGCTCCCAGACAGAGCAAATGTGCACGAGCTGGCATCGACAGACTGCGCTGGAAGCATGGCACACAGATGCTCTCTAACAAGAAAGGATCAGGAGGAGAGAGAACCTTGGAACAACACAAAGAAACAAAGAACACAGTACAGTGGGCTTTCCTTCTCCTGACTTTCTAAACTGCTTGATGGTGGAAGAAAAATTCCAACACCAATAGATGTGGTTCTACTCTGTACCCAAAATACCGAGACAATCACATACTGCAGGGGAGGGCGATAAAAGGCAAGATGGGAAAAGAGTCTGTCTCACTAAACTGACAAAATCATGACACCACAGTCTAGGACAAGTTACAAACGTACAATGCAAACCCCAAGCAAACAATGAAAAAAGCTAGTCGAAGACACAGTAAATGAAACAGACAGCCAGGTAACCCACAAGAAGGAAGGATAAAGAAAACAGGCATGAAAAATAGCACAAATAAAAGCAACCATAAAGTGACAAACTTAAGCCCTAGCACATCAAAAATTAAATGTGTCTGAGGGGCTGGGGATTTAGCTCAGCGGCAAAAGCGCCTGCCTGGCATGCGCAAGGTC